TCCTCCAGGAGCGCTATTGGATCCAAACCAGGCAAAGTGCCTTGGCCCAGGCTGAGCCCCAGAGTGGAGGGGCCAAGCAGCGGGACGGTGGGTTGGCAGGGGGTGAAAACAGCAGCGCCCGCTGTTGGAAAGGCCTGGGAACATCAGCACTCTTCAGTCCTGGCTACGGGGCTGGAAGAGATCCCAGCTGATTGTGCGGCGGGAGGAAACCAATAAGGTGGGTTGCTTTGCCTGCAGAATGTGTTCCTCTTGCAAACATACAAATTCGCTCGTGCGGTTGTGGGAGATGTACATCAAGGTGCTGTGTAAGCACGGGGCTTTGGATGTGGTTTTTAACCTCCCCAAGCTTGGAAAAGGTCATTCGAGTCTGCAGTTTAGTGATTATGTTTATCTATATCACTTGCTTCCATAACAAAAGAACTTGACATGGGCACATCAAATTAATAGGTAGCAGGTTTAAAACAAACAAAGTATTTCTTCACACAACCCACAGTCATCCTGTGGCGTTTCTTGGTAACTATAAATGCCTTAATACAGTGGCTCCCAACCTTTTTGAGCATACGGACCCCTTTTCAATCTATTAAAATGTCACGGACTCCCCAAACGATCCATTTTTGCTAGCCCAATTAAACCCTTCCTGCCAGTCTAACAGCTTTTGAATGGTTAGAGCGGGGTGACATTAAAAAAAGAGGGGGAAATGGTAAAAAGTGTCTGACCCATTTATAAGCCAACTCCAGAGGACAGTTGCAACTTGTCAGCTTCAGCATGGGCTGAGGGATGGGCAGACTGCAGGGCCTGGAGCTTCTCAGGTCCCATTGGCTGCTGTTCACCTGTGCTGCTTCCTCAGCTCCTGTCCCATCTGTCCCCTGACCATCCACAGAATGAGGGGGCTCTCATTGCCAAAGGGAGCTCTGGAGCTGCCAGCTCCACAAGAGTGAAATTTCAAGTGGGTATGGGACAAGGGTGGAACTTCAGGAGCAAGGGGGGTGGCAGCCATGTGCACCACAATGCAGCTTGCTTTTGATCCCATTCCCCAGAAGCAAAGGGAGTGTGGGGAAAGTGCTTGTGTGCCATGCATGCCTCTCCTGTCTTGCTGGTGTGTGAGAGGCATGCATGAGATGCAAGCACTTTCCCCTCACTCCCTTAGCATCCAGGGCACGGGATCTAAAGCAAGCTACTTCGTGATGGGGTGGGGAAGAAGAAAAGGAAAAGAAAAATAGGGATCGGGCCCAGATATTTTATAAACTTTCTGCAGACCCCCTGCAGTGTCCTCATGGATGGTCTGAGGTCCGCAGACCACAGGTTGGGAACTTCTGCCCTAATAGAAGCACGTTGCTATCAGCAGTACCACAAAGACAAAATCACAATACCACATTAAAAAATAAATTGTTATAAGGTCATGTCATGTATACATATACATACTATACATATATTCCCATATACACTACAAATATATACACTACATCCATACTAATTATTTAAAAGTGCTTCTAAATCTATCAAAAACTACATTCCTCAGTTATGGTCCCAGGTCCACCATAAAGAACTAAACACAATTGGCAAATAAAAGCTGTCCTTTGGTAGCACGAGGGAACGTGCAAACTAAGAAACAAATGGGGCATAAATTTGTAAATGCTAAAATAAGGTGTCCACAGGGTCACCTTCAGTACATGCACTATGCTTTTCCAGAACAATGGGTAAGCATCCTCCTCATCCCCTTACCTCCGGCTCTTGGGGAAGAGTGCTGAGGTTTTCCTTTCTATGTTCACCATGTTGTTTCCTTTGTCCTCCATCTTGTTTTCTCTCCCTCTAAAATGGCAGCCAGTACCTTGGTCACCATCTCCTATCAGGAGGAAAACAGTGGCAGGGAAAATTAGGCATGTGACTCTAGTCTGCCCAGCAACAGACACGTGACTCTAATCAGCCCAGCAACCAGAGAGTTTTTAGGGGGTGCTCACCCGTCCCTCAGGGCTCTCTGTGTGCATATCATCAGCACAACCCAGCAGTGCTAGGATGACAGCTAGCAGGCTGTTTGGCCTTGTAGGCCATCTGGAGCAGAAGCCAACTCTCTCTCTCTCCAGATGTGCACACATCAGCATAGTTCAGTGGTGCTAGGGCGTCAGTGGCAACTGTTTGGCCTAGTTGACCAGTGAGACAGAGAAGCCAGCCATCAGTGCTAGTGGCAGCCAGGCAGGCTGTTTGACTTTGTAGACCACTTGGGTAAAAGATAGATAATGCAATGACCGGTAGCACAGGGCTTGGTTTATTAGTATAGGATTGTAGTGGGGGTGGCAAAGCCACCCACTACCCTCTGGGAGCCATTTTAGGCACAGCCTAGCCCCTCCCTATCACCTGACCAGAAGTCAGTGGGAAGGGTTAGGACTAGAAAGAGCCAGGCTGAGAATGGGAGGTAGAGGTCTGTCCAGAGTGCTCTGCCACAGAGACTTGGTTAGACCTGCTAACCAGCCTATGGAGGCCTATGCTGGGCTCTGGGCCTGCAGGGAAGGATCTGACTGAACCCAAGGACCTGCTGGAGCCCTGATGCCTGCCTGTATCCTGGGGCTATGTCTACATTGACAAGAGTTTTTCACTAAAGTATTTGTGCAAGAGAGCATCTACACTGGCATGTGCTTTTGTGCAAAAGCATCCGTGCCAGTGTAGATGCTCTCTTGTGCAAGAAAGCTCTGATGGCCATTTTAGCCATTGAGTTTTCTTGTACAAGAAATTCATGTTGCCTGTCTACACTGGCCTCTCTTGCGCAAGAACAGTTGTGCAAGAGGGCTTATTCCTGAGCAGGTGTGTTATAGTTCTTGCGCAAGAAGCACTGATTTCTTACATTAGAATGTCAGTGTTCTTGTGCAAGAACTCACAGCCAGTGTAGACAGGAGGCAAGTTTTTGTGCAAAAGTGGGCGCTTTTGCACAAAATCTTGCAAATGTAGATGTAGCCTGGGTCTGTGTGTGCCTGCTGAAGTGGCAGGCTCTACCTGAGAGCCAGGAGGACCTGAGTGGTGGGACCTGCCTGAACCCTTGTGCCAGCTAGCACCCCTGAACCCTGAGAGCCTGCCAGAGCTGCTGGATGAGCAGGATCCTGATGGCCAGCCCAGAAAATCCTGCCTGCTGCAGCCAGCCTACCAGCTGGAGCCAGAGGACCTGGAAGCCACTGAGGCCTGGATCAGGCTGCTGGAACTCCTGCCGGAGGAGACCTTCCTCGACTCCCCGAGTGACCTGCTACAACCACAGGTACCTGATGAGGAGAAAAAAGGATATGGCCTAGGGAATAGCACAGGCTGGTAAAAGCCCTATGCTAGCGAGTTTTAGGCTGGAGCCCTCGCTGAGCCAGCAGCAGCTGTCCTGCTGCTTTTAGGGCCCTGGGCCAGGGCACAGTGGAGTAGGTGGCAGTCTCTCCCTTATCCCCACTGCAGGTGAACTACCTGCTCTCCTCCTGAGTCAGGAGCTTCCTCAAACTTGCATGGTTGCTGCCACGCCCTGAACCAGGGCCTGCCTCCCTCTTGTTGAATTGCTACGGTGTTTGTTTGCACCCCAGCATGTACCCAAGCCTGGGCCTCTAGTACTGTTTGGGTTGTTGCCCCGCCCTGCACCAGGGCCAGCATTCAGTTTCAGTGTTTGCTGCCGCACCTGTGACAGGCCTCGGGCCTTGGAACACACGTTCTGTATTTACGTTCTGGGCCTCTTAAACTGGCAGGACTCTTACCAGGACCTTGGGACTAGTGTTAGCCGATAGCCAGGGTAATGAGTGGTCTATGAGCCTATCACACCTGAGTCTTTAACTGCTAGGACAAAGTCCCTTTGCAGCGGGCAGCCAGGGAGGCTGACGGGTGTCCCAAGAGTCTGCCCCGTGGAGGCTCAGCTCTTACTACGTTTACCCCTGACCACAGCAAGATAGCCAAACCAGCTATGGTTCTTTTTTATTGTGTTTGGTTCTGTTACAGCAACAGGAGGAGTCAGGTTAAAGCTTAAACAGTTACTACTTTATTGTTAAAAGACAAGCTTAGCTATTAAATGTTACTGCTGTGTTACAGATAACACAGCCACTACAAAGACAAGACAGGAAAAAATACAATAGAAGTCTCTTAAAGGTGCCATGGAACCCTTTTGGCTCTCTGAGCAATTATTGAATGTGTGCAAAACAGACACCTAGCAGATATATTCTCACCCCTACGATCCTTACTCTGGCGAAGCCAGCGTTTCTCTCAATCCCAATGGGAAGCAGTCGATACGAGATGAAGGCGTCCCTAAAGTCTCGGAGGTCCAAGACTGCCTGACAAGCAGGTATGTGGTTGGATCTCCAATTAGAGTGGGGCACAGGGCCCCACTTTATACCCCTGTGGTCACGTAGACGATGTATTCTCACCCCTATGATCCTTACTCTGGCGAAGCCAGCGTTTCTCTCAATCCCAATGGGAAGCAGTCGATACGAGATGAAGGCGTCCCTAAAGTCTCGGAGGTCCAAGACTGCCTGACAAGCAGGTATGTGGTTGGATCTCCAATTAGAGTGGGGCACAGGGCCCCACTTTATACCCCTGTGGTCACGTAGACGCTTCTCTTGTCATTAAAATGCCAATTAAGTTGGAACGTCTTTGGACACCCATTCCCACAGGGGGTCCAAAGCTTAATTGGCACCTGTGAGGTGGTGGTAACTAAATCATTAGGGCTGGACATTCTTTTCTGATGGGGCGACAGATTCCTCTTCTGGGATGGTGTGTGTAGGTGTATCAATTACTGGTACCAGCCAAAGGCAGCCCAAGGCCCCGATCATCTGCTGGCCCAATTGCTGCTATCTGGTTCCTGTCTAGCATCCAGGGCCATAGTTATTCCAGCACCTCTGGAGGCCCTGGAGCCTTTGAAGACAGAGTTTTGTTCCCAAGGATTCTCTCTTTCCCAGAGATCAAGGGGGGGGAAATGGGTTCTGTCTGGCTACAACTAGTGAACTTCTTCCCAGTGGTCCGGATCTGAAGCAAGGCCGCGCACTTGAACTATTTGCCTTCCAACCTGCCCTGAAGCAAGGCCTGGTTGTGGACTATTGATTTGGGATTATATTGGACTCCTTACTGGTGGCCCAGACCTGAAGTCAGGCCGAGTACGTGAACTGTTTGCCTTTCATCCCAGCCAGGAGTTGTACTGTTTACCCCCTTTTACCTGTTCTGGGCATGGCCAGACTGTGGGACTAGAGACTTGGAGACTATTTTTAAGAGGCTGCACGGTAGGGCGGACATGCCGCCCGCTGACCCAGAGACAGAGGAGCCCCTCCGGGAGGCCTACTGGTCTACAAGGATCTGCAATGGGGAGAGTCTTACACGCACTCACGCTATCCATTTCATTTAGGGTCCGCATACCACACTCGGGACGGCATGTCAAGAGCAGAAGAAAGAAGATCAAAGTTCCAGGGAGAGGACCACTCACTTACTTGAACCTTGCAGTCTGTCCTTGTCTCCACCGCAGTTTTCCAGCCTGAAGGTGTCTACTTACCTTCCAGCTCTGGACACTGGAATGGTGGTAGGACTGTTCTGTTGTGGGGGGTTAGAGTGTTCTCAGTCTTAGTTTGACAACCAGATTTATTTTATGTTTGTTCCTCACACTTGTAAATAAACCACTTATTGTTTTATCTCCCCTTGTCAGACTTGACTAAATACATGGTGATACAGATACAGTGCAGGTGGAGGACCTGTATTTAGCCATCAGGACCTAGTCCTGGTCTAACGCCACAAAAAGAAAAAGTTGGGGAGTGTAGTAAGATGAGGACCTAAACCATAAGCCTGTGTATCACAGGCTGGATATGAGGTCTGAAGCCCAAACAGCAATGGTTAAAATTTTTCTAATACAAAGCAAAGTTAAGCTGTGAGCAACAGGCAGGCACTGCTCATAGAAGTTAGCAAGAACAGGGCGGCTATTAAAAAAGCATTCCTACCTAAAAGCTACTAGGCACAGGCCAAAACACATTCCAGAGAGGTCATATTAAAACATCTCAGTACCAACATGCCCCAGAGATAACAGGAACATACTGACCCAGGTTAAGTACAGAGTCTAAACTAACAGCATGAAGGATAATGATCAGACTCCCACGTACAAGGTAGATCTAAGTAACATCAGAGGGTGACAACTTATTACATCAAAAGTAATGTGTAACTTGTTTGTACCTATATATGAAAGTGTTCCCGAAACTTACCTTTCTTCAACCAAGGGGGCAGCGTCTCATCCCTGGCACTGACTGAGTCATGTCCATTGTCACAGACACAAATTCTTAGACTACCTGTAAACATCTGATCTGGGGAAGCTATTACTGTTACAGAGTCTAAACTAACAGCATGAAGGATAATGATCAGACTCCCACGTACAAGGTAGATCTAAGTAACATCAGAGGGTGACAACTTATTACATCAAAAGTAATGTGTAACTTGTTTGTACCTATATATGAAAGTGTTCCCGAAACTTACCTTTCTTCAACCAAGGGGGCAGCGTCTCATCCCTGGCACTGACTGAGTCATGTCCATTGTCACAGACACAAATTCTTAGACTACCTGTAAACATCTGATCTGGGGAAGCTATTACTGTGCTTTATTTATAATAAAGCTGGCCTGGTGCCTTCGGTCCTTTTCTAATCTGGTGGTCTCTGGGGGCAGAATCAAAATCTGCTGTGGTGGCTATTTGCACAAGCCAACACAATACACAAAGAAGCACGTGCATGCAGTCAAATGGTTATCATCAACAGAGCAAGAGATCTGTCAGGATGCCACCAGTAACACCTGATCACTACAACTATTAGCCAGAATGAGCAGGCATGGTGTCCCTAGCCTCTGTATATCAAAGCTGGGGCTGGATCACTTGAGGCTTTCCTGTTCTGTTCATTCCCTCTGGGACACCCAGCATTAGTCACTGTTGGAAAACAGGTGTGACGTAGTGGGAGTACCTGGCTGGTTTCTATGCTGCTGGCTCTGGGCTAACCCCCACTGGTTGCCGTGGGTACCACGACCCAGCAAAACAGGATGAGTCACTATGCAAACCAGTGGCCAGACACCCCCCATAGAGAAGAACAAAGGAAGGTGGAATGCTGCCCTGGCTGGGGGCCAGGGCTGGAAGAGAGTTCGTTAGTTCCTGTCTGGAAAGCAGGGGAGAAGGAGCTGGGGAGGAGAGCTGGGACTCCCCTATCTCAAGGGGGACACTGAGGCCTCTTAGCCCCAGTTCCTGTAACCAGATTACATCTGTGCTATGCTGTATCCTGGAGGAGCAATAAACCACCCTCAATTCCACTGGCTGGTGGAGTCTGTTTGAGCCATTTCGGGGTGCAGGAGACAGGGGACCCCCAACGCGCCGTCACAACAGGTTACTGGGCTAGATGGATCATTGGTCTGACCTAATATGACCATTCTTATGTGCCAGTTTGGCTGTGTCTAGACTTGCCAGTTTTTCCGGAAAATCAGACGCTTTTCCGGAAAAACTTGCCAGCTGTCTACACTGGCCGCTTGAATTTCCACAAAAGCACTGACTTCCTACTGTAAGAAATCAGTGCTTTTTGCGGAAATACTATGCTGCTCCCGTTCGGGCAAAAGTCCCTTTTGCGCAAAACTTTTGTGC